TTCCCCACCCTGACCTTCTGTTCCACACATATAAAGTGGGAATTAAAATAATCCAAACACTGCCTATCTCACTGGGTTGTCCTGAGGATCAATTAAGAGAGATGTGAAAGAACGTTATAAACTGTGCAGTGCAGAAGAGATGTTAGTGGTTAGTTTATTAGGAAGGAGACACTCTGGGGAGGAGTAGAATGTGAGCACCCATGAGAAAAACTTCCTCATGTTATAAAGTCTACCAAAGTGCTTCTACATTGGGGCAAGGAGTTTTCTGCATGGTGTGATGTCTGTGGGTCAGAAAGGATATTCCCTTGTGTCACACCAGCCCTCCTCAATGGGCTTGCTAGGGGGCCTCATCTTGTCTCTGTGTTGGGGCAGAACACTGGTCACTACCTTCTCAGAAGGCCTGGGCTCTAGAGCTAGTCCCCCCACTACTTCTGTGTGGCCTTTGGCAAGGCTGAGCCTGGTTAAAGTTAAGACCTTGGGCTCTGAAGCTGGATGGTCTAAATTTGAATCCTAGCTCTGCTAGGGATTTGTGATGAGACCTTGAACGGACACTTAAACTTTCTGTTCCTCAGTTTGCTCACCTGTAAAGTAAAGATCATAACAATATCTATCTCATAGGATTGTTGGGTAGACTGAATCAGTTCGTGCCGGCCAAATAGTCAGAACAATAAATATTAGCTGTTATTGTCTGAGCTTAGGACTTTCCCTTTGTGTACATGTGTGTGTGTGTGTGTGTGTGTGTGTGTGTGTGTGTGTGTGTGTGTGGTGTGCCCCTTTCTCTGCATTCCCAGTTGAGAATCCAGTCTAGAATTTAGAGCTAAGAGCCTAAATGAGCTGTTATCTTCTCCCAGGTCTAACCTATTTCATCTTTGCTCTCTATCTTGACCTCAAGACACTTGGTTTCTGACGGGATTGGAGGTCCTGGGGGAACCTGAAGGACAGGAAGGAGAATAAAGGAGGAGGAGGGAGGGTTTAGAAAATCCTCGAGGGACACAGAGGTTGAGGTAGCAAGGCAGTGAAAAGGCTGTCTGAATGTTATAAGGTCCTCCACAGTCTATTCTGGTCAATTTTCCTCGAAGACAGAGGAGGAAATGAGCCCTGGCATTGCCTTGGTCACATACTTCCAATGTATCAAGTCCTGTTGATTCTGTTGTCTTCATATCTTTCAAAAGAGGAGCAAGTTTAAGAAAGAAGTGTCAACCATGCCCAATACTGTTAATTCATTGCATGTATCCCAATTTATAACTCAATATTTATTTGTGTGGTTTTTTTGTTTAGTATCTCTCTCCCCAGTGCCTCTGTGAGGTCAAGGATCCTGACTCTTTTATATTTGGGCTTGGTCTACAGCCTGAACACAGCAGGCATACAACCCAATCAACATACAATGACACTGGGGAGAGGTGACCCCTCTTCCAATGCCAGAGAGAATATCCACAGACCTGTCACTTTCCTCACCACTCCCCCACCAACTACAAGGCTCAGCCACCAAAACTTAGATTCCACCTGACTACCCTGAATTGACAAGATCTAGATCTACCCAACTGAGAAGAATGGGGATTTGAGAACTGAGTTGCAGGCACCTAGTCTTGCTTTTATTTTTTGCACTCTCCAGATTGTGGCCTATGAAAATTGAATCAAATGTGCAAATCCTTCCAGAGCAACTTTGCCTCCCATACCATGAGCAATTCTTCTGGCCAGTGGAAGTCAGGACAGGCTTCCCAGAAGAGGAGCCAATTGGGCTAACAATATAACAGGATGAGTATATCAGACTGATGGTGCTCCTTATATCACTGAGTGCTGACAACCTGTCCACATGTGGTGATGTCTGAGCCTAATGTGTCCATGAACGTTATTTGAAACTCAACTTTGACCAGTTGCTAAGGAGAGCAAGACAGCAGATAAGCCATTTACTCTTGATGAGGATACTGTGTTTCTCATAACTGTATACTTTAACTTGGCTGTACTTTAAGTATCTGTTTATTTGTCTCTTTCTTCAACCTGAATAATTTCTGGGTCTTAGTCATGTTTTTAACCTAAGCTTTTATAACAGAGCTTTGAAAGTACATGATGAGCCCATTAGTACACAAACGAGTGGATGAGAGATACGGAGAATGTGGAGTGTCCTTCCAACACACAGTGTCTTCCTTCACACATTCAGCACAACTGTTAGAATGGGAGTGACTTCATGTTAGGTGTTCCCTTCAATGGAATGAAGGGGCAGAAAGATTATGCCTTCTATTGTTTCCCCTTGCAAAACAAGGTCATTTTCATGGGTTAGGACATGGTGCTGGCTAGATTTCAGTCCCAAGTAATGACTAGCCTATCACCCTTGGAATAGGTCAAAACCAGCTGGAGAGGTCTTGAGGTGACTGGCGTGGGCAGATGATCTTATTAGGCATAGTAACAAAATCATCATAGCTGAGTATGTGCTTTGGAGGAAGATGAAATCACATTAGTTTCCACTGGGGTTTTGTTTCCAAGAAGAATAAAAAAGGCTTTGTGTTTAGTGGAGAGAATTAAGATGTCAACATTTATCAGATGACACTCTAACCTTTCTTTGTTTGAATGTGTTTTGTGTCCCTCTCTTGTTGGGAGCATAGAGGGGAGACCCTACCCGACAATAACGTTAGTGTCACCATGACTTGTGTCTGCCTTTGTTCTTGCTGAGATGAAGTAAGATCCTTTGTTCTGGTAGACCCATAGGGGAGCTGCTTTGGGGGTAGACATGGAGACAGAAATCAGAAATTTTCCAAATTTGCTGTTTGATCCTTGGGTGTCACTCATTCCTATGGTAGCACTTATGAGGGAATGGCAAATGTTGAGTAAGGTGTTTCAGTGAGGCAGCAGACTTTTCAGTCTCCATACCTATTAGTTTATTTATACTATGTTGTTGTGATCAATAGCTGTTGGGAAGCCATTTGCCATCAGTGAACCTCAATTTCTACATCTGTAAGCTAGCGAAGGTAGCATGACCCTACTTACCAGTGCCCAGGGAAGGCATCTAAAGAGGGAAGAAACATCTTGGAATTCCTGAGACTTTCTTAGTTTTCCTGGGGATCATCTTCCAGCTTGCCATGTCTGTCCTTTGTTGGTATTCTAGCTTGGAGCCAATCCTCTCCTAAATTACCATTCTGTAGGGCTCCATTATCTCAGTGATTCCAGAGGTAACCCATGTTCTGAGCATAGTTATTTTTCTCTTTCCCTCCATTGGGAGGCTGCTCTTGTGGAAGGGGACCTATTGGCTTCTGGCCCACAACCTGCATGATACATACACATAACATTCATTCATTTGGCCTTGAGTCAATACACGGATGAATACACAGATATATTAATGATTTACACTTTCCAGTGGCAGCTGTGGATCTTAACAGATGCCTCCTGGAGAAAACCTTGTCCCAAAGGTGACAAGGTGTGACAGTATAAATTTCAGGCTGCTGACAAGCTCCTAAATAAGTAAAAGGAGGTGAGTGAGATAGTTGGGACTTATTGTATTTTACCAGTGAGATGTCTACCTACTCAGGCAAGTTTTGGGAAGCCCTGGGGACTTTCAGGTTAGAGAGATGGAAACAGTTGGTGATGGGTGAGTATCACCTTCTGCAGAAGGGCTGAAATTGAGGAAGGATAAAGAGAGAAGGAAGTGCACAAATACAGTTTAAATGTCTTCTGTTTCTGTGGTTTTAAGAAACATTGAGAGTTTTTCTTTGACATGATCCATGGTTTCTCAGGCCAAATAGACACAGAACATTGGTCAGAGTGCTGATAATGGGTGGTGTAATTTTCAGATGCTCAGCCCTCAGATCTCTCCCATCAGGTATGTAGTTGGGGGCGGGGGGCTAACAGGTGACAGAGATTGAGATTCTAGAACTCATCTTATGAACTCCTTACCACCCATTAGAAAATCCTCCCCCTGTCCAAAAGCAGGAAGCAATCTTCTCTGACTCCTTTGCCCCTAATAAAAAACTCTCATCATCTACTCTAGTCCTGGGTGCTGTGTACTGCCTGTAGTGATGCCTGTCATATTATTGGTGGCTAGGGTGGTTTGGGTCCACTTGGCCATCCAGGCTGCTGTTCTCCTCTTTGCTCCATTCATTCACACTCATTGTTCTTGGATATTGATCTGTCCAGAGAAAGGGGGCTATTATATGATCAAGAATCTATCTAACTTGCTGTCTAAGCCACAGGAAAAGGGCACACAGGTAGCTCAGTATTCCCATGTCTACCAACTCAACTACACCAACTTTTCTGGATGTCCCCTCTGCATAAAGCACTCTGCTAGGGACTAGGGACACAATGGTGACTAATACCCAGACTGTGCCCTTGAGCACCTCTCAATATGATAGGAGAACTTGGTATAGAAACCATCAATGGTGCTAGAGGGTAGAGAAGGCAATAATAGAATTTTGTATGGAAGATAGAAGCTGCCCAGAGGGGGAAGTGGTTAAATATGTTCAAGCAGGTTGGTGAGGAAAGACACTAACAGAGGGGGTCCTGATGAGCTGGGTTTTGAAGGATGAGAAGGAGCCTTCTAGGGGCACAGGGGAATTTCTAGGCAGAAAAAACTGCATGGGTAAAGATCTGTAGTCCTAGCTTTTTTGTAGGATTTCAAGTGTTTTGGAATGCATGCACCCATGGAGTCAAGGGCAGGTTAGAGATTAAAGGCTGGTGGGTTTACTTGAGTTTCTGTAACCTTTGGGCTTACTGATAACACTGATTGAGCTGTTTATTTACCACAGAATATGAACTCAAGGGAGGTCATCTGGGCAATGTCCATGATCCTTTGTCAACTATCATGGCAGAGAGAACACCTGCACATGGAGCACAAGTGGTCGTTCTATTGGATTCAGCCCTAGCCCCACCCACTTTCCCAGCACACAAATCTTCCAGTCTCACAGAATCTCCTCTGGGCTGGAAGGGAAGCTCTGTACACTGAGGCCTGCAAACAGTAACACAGACTGTTGAAAGTAGAACTCAGAGGAGAGAATCTCAGAAGGAAAGTGGCCATGGACCTGATCCCAAGCCTTTCCATGGAAACGTGGGTTCTCCTAGCTACCAGTCTAGTGCTCCTCTATCTGTGAGTAACTGTCCAGGCTCATGTCCTCTTAACCTTGGACTTGGGGTGCTAATCAGGCACCCCTTTCCATTATCTGTTTTGAAGACTAAAAGTGTTAATAAAGGGGAAATTCCTTAGGCATTTGATGCTACAAACACTTGAAGGGTTATTATTGATCTTATGTAGATCCCTTGAAATAGTAAACTTCCCTTCCAACTGTCAATGTCTATGGCCTTGAGGCTTAGTGATATTATTTTCTCCTGGGCATGATCTTCCTATTGACTACCAGTTTGGACCTAGACTAGTCAACCAGAATTCAGCAGAGACAGATTATAAAGCAACTAACCCCTTTGCAGTGGGGTCCTCATCTCCATCCCAAGGTCTGGGGCTCCCAGAGGCAGGAGGAAGTGGCTTGGGTTTTTGTGTCATTTACTTCACCTTCCAATGTCTGTCTTTGCTCCAAGAAACTTGTAGGACTTGTCCCTGTGTTACTCAGGTGGCTCCTGTTACCCACCCTTCCCACCACCTGGTATCATTTACACAAGGCACCTTGAACACCTAGACTTTTCAGGTGGGCTGGAGATTGCTCTACTCTGTCCTCAGACTCAGGTGTTCCGTATTTTCTGTGACTCTTCTATAGGAATCTTCTCCTAAGACTCATTTACCCCATCCTGCAATATACAGAACTATTTACCCCTAAATGGGGAATGTCTGGAGCAGAGGAGACTTGGAAGAAATCTTGAATTGTATTCTTTTCTTTCACCTTTTCTTTCCATTCTCTGGGAAGGTTATCATCAGTATAGAGATTTCTTTTCCCCTGATATGAAATCTGCTAGTAGCCTGTAAAGGCATGAGCCCCAAAAACCAATTTGTTTTTTTAAATATTTTTAACTTTAAGTTACAGTACAGGAGGATGAATCAAAACCATCCAGTGGAGGAATTCCTTTCAATGGTGGGATTCCTGGCATCATGGATCAGGTTGGGAGAGGAGATAATTTTGACATGTGGGTAAGGAAGCCCCCTCTGTATCACATTTAATCTGTGTCTCAATTTTCTTTTCAGAGGAGGAAATCAGGAACACAGGAAATTTAAATCCTGGTTTTAATTCTTTGAAATAAATGTTAGGAATTCCCGGTACATTGGCAATGTATTTTCTGACTGATGACATTTTAAAATTAATTGATGTGTTTTAATTTTGTTCTACATAATACCAGATTTTTTACTTGATAAAACTATTTCTAGCATGTACTTTTTTTTTCTTTTAGGAAGATTAGCCCCGACCTAACTACTGCCAGTCCTCCACTTTTTTTCTGAGGAAGACTGGCCCTGAGCTAACATTCGTGCCCATCTTCCTCTACTTTTTGTTTTTTTTTATGTGGGACGCCTACCACAGCATGGTGTGCCAAGCGGTGCCATGTTGCACCCGGGATCTGAAACGGCGAACCCTGGGCTGCTGAGAAGCAGAATGTGTGCACTTAACCGCTGCACCACTGGGCCAGCCCCCTAGCATGTATTTTCTAAAGAAGGCTGTTGGCTCATGATTTGTGACAATAAACATGCATAAATAAACTCACCCTTGTAAAATAATGTCAGGAACTTGAATCTAGGGTACAAAAGTATACTTCTGTGATATAGTTTGTATTGTATATATGTTTGCTGAGGATGATTCACCCTGAGGTAACATCTGTGCCAATATTCCTCTATTTTTTAGTATGTGGGCTGGCAGCACAGCTTCTAACTGAGCAGTGTATGTCAGCACCTGGGAACTGAATCCAGGTCACTGAAGTGGAGTGCACTGAACTTACCCACTGGACCACCAGGGCTGGTCCAAGATTGTATATATATTTTAAATATCCCTGCACAGCAGATTCTGTTAATTTCTCAATGCAAGTGCATAAATGAGACTGTAGGCCAGTGATGATATGAGAGGCATCCAGTAGAAGTCAGGATGAAGTGGAGGAATATTCCTCATCCCTTAGAGCAGTGATACTCCTTGGTCCTGGTCCCACAGGAGGTCCCTCACAGCACAGCAGGATTAGCATCTCATCAGCTTGAAGCCTGGACACAAGGATGCCATCTAAATCACTCTACGTGTGGTCGGTCTGGCAGTGGGACTGTCATTAGAAACTATCACCGCCAGGCAAACAACCTTGTAGCCCTAGGACACTGAGGCAGCCAGGAGTCAGTTGCTGTGGAGTAGACAATGTGCTCCTTATGCCAACATAAGGTAAACATAATACAAATGATTGGCCTTGTTGTTAGTCTCTTCACATGTATCAAAAACAGCATTACTCTGCAAAAAGAGGAAAGCTGGAGGGAAAGCAGGGAATTCACCTAGCCCACCTTCTGCCTTGAGATGGAACCTTGTGAGTTTAGACACTAGAAGAGATCTTTCCTTGGGGACCTGTGTTGTTCACACTTTCACTCAATTGCTTGGACTTACCTGAGAGTTTACATAACACATTGAAAGTTCAGAAGCAGAAATTGGTTTAATTGATTTGACGTGGGTATGATGGCAAAGGAACGAACTGAGTGGGGCTAACTGAGGCCAGTCTTGTTTCTGGTAGTCAGCGCACATGCTTCCATCAGCTGTTCTGGAGGAAGGAGCCAAATGCCTGGGTGGGCCTGGCCAAGGTTCTTCTGCTGGGTCCTTCAAACACACATCCTTTCATGCAATTTTGGGGGTTCATATCACTACATATTATAATATTTGCTGGATTTGAACTAAATATCTGTATCCTTCCTGTACTAATTTAAAGGCTGACCTTCAAAGAAAAGACGTCTTAATTCAACTCTCTGGAACATTTTATGGTTACTCATTTTATGTTGCTCAATGCATCTTCTGCTATCAACAGGAAGCTACCTAAAGTATGGAAGACTCCCTATTGTTAGGCTAAAAGCACTTGTAGGGCATGTTGAACCATTTATACATACCATACTTTTCAGCCGTACTTTCCTAATTTACCTCTGTGGAGTTAGCTTATAGACCTAACTACATCATGGTAAATATGGCTTTTGGCAGCCTCTTCCCTCAGCTTCTCTCCTTCCTCCACTCTGCCATCTCTCAGTAACCCTGTAGTGGGAAGACTTGCAGAGATCTAGAACCGCTAGTTGTGGGATTCCACATATGACACATGAAAGATGAATTATAGGCAGGCCTGCTGTCGGAAACACCAGCCTTAATGAAGTTGGGATATTTGATGCACAGAGGCAGTAAACTAACTGTTTTATTACTGACCATCTTGAAAAAAATGAGTGTGCCTGGCATTTTGCTCAGGAAGTAAGTGTGGCAGGTTGGAGGTCCAGATGCTATGGGGGGAAGAATGGTATGGAAATGGATTCTTCAATCATCAGATCCTTTATACAGTATCATTCAGGAAGCATATGGGTCAATCATCCTTATCTTTAGCTCAAGACAACCAAATTGCCTGACAGAAGAGACTTGGGAGTTGCTGAAAGACACTCACATTTCTACTGGGCCAATGGAAGCCTTGAATATAGTTTTAATTCTATAGAAGTAAGAACACTGTGGCTGCCTCAAGGCCTTCCTGTGAAGACAGATTTAAGAACTAGATTCTAAGTCAGGATCAGGGCAGAGAGGGAAAGAAAAGCATAAAAGTCATCAAGCAAAGTGTAAGAACAATGTCACAGTAGGCTCTCAGTAACTCTATTCTATTGAGTGGACCCAGTTATGCAAAATCTATCATCAGAGAAGAAAAACATTTTTTCCCCTTTCTAAATAGAATGAGAATCTCCAAATCATGGAATAGTCAACATACTAAATAGACACGAGTGAATTCTCTGGAAGAATTCCAGCCTGAAAACCTCTCAGGAGCACTCAAATTTGGAAATATTTATCAAGTATTCACTCTAGGATTGGGACCATGGAGATTTGAGCTCTTTTAGCTACTCATCATTACTTTCTGTGGGTCTCACAGTGGAGGTGGGAAAGGAGAGGATGAGTGAATGTAATTACTGCTGTTGGAGTTACTGTTATTGTTTATGACCTAGACCTCTTTCTCTGTTGACTGTTCCGGTTCTGAGTCAGTGACTGGCCAGTTGCAGCACCTAATCCATAATCCCTGTGACCTGGCTTTCTCTTTCACTTTATAGGTATGGGACCTATTCACATGGACATTTTAAGAAACTGGGAATTCCTGGGCCAACACCTCTGCCATTTTTTGGAACTGTTCTGGGCTACATTAAGGTGAGAATTGTTTGAGCTCCCTCTTTTGCTTCTTATGGTTTTAAATTCCATCTTAGTTCCATATTACAAATGCCCCTGCTCTGGAGGAAGTTCTGCGGTTTCACACTTTGCAGATGGCATCATAAGCCTCACCCAGCACATCTCCAGGTTTAACCCAGGACTCTATTCTCAGCTGTTACGAACCCCAGGGTTCAACTCTGTTGGACGGCCCAGCTCTCCAGCTGATTCTGCACACGACTTGGTGCTCCAACTTGTGAGCATTCTGAAGAGGCTTTTCTTTCTGTCAGGTGCAGATTCCCAGGAAGGCACAATCATACTGAGTATTAGGACTAAAGAATAAAGGATGAGCCCAGTAGTAGTTCATTAAGCTGTGCACAGCAAAGTTAGATTTTGTTTGTAACATAAGCTCTGGGTACCCTTTTCTTTATTTCCTTCTCTTGGGTAGCTATTAAACTTCAGTTAATTAGGCAGCCCCAGTATTTACCATTGGGTAATTTACATATGCTTGAACTCACTGAAGAACTGCTAAACCCCTGAAGTTATTTCCATGGCTGTAACTAATCCTCTGCTACCCATGATATCTTTTGGGATTTGAGAGATGGAACAAGAGCTTTCTGTTTTACTTCTCTTCCTTCAAAGGAGGCTCCCTATAGGTCAGTCTGAGCAGGGAGTGGGTATAACTGAGAAAAGATGATGGTTGTCTATTGGCTTCAGATATTTAATCACTAATCAAGTTGTATTTCTTTTCTTTTCAACAAATATGGACTTATACAAAATTACTGGAAAGGAGATGATTTGACAATTTTTAAAAAAAATTAATATAACTGAGTGGAATGTACTAGATGACAAATGGACTGTGAGTTCTCACAGAGCCTTTGTGGTTAATCCAACTCTGATGCCTGAGCCAGGTTGTGGCCACTGGATGGAAGGTTATGCATTTTTGTCCAAATGAAGGAGGTAGAGCCTTGTGTGCAGGCTCCTCACTTCCTCAGATTTCCTTTCTTGCAGATGTGACGCTTGTTTCTCAGATCCCAGCTCTCCTAACTGAGGTCTTCAGTGTCTCGTTACCACCTAAGAACTTTCATACTTTTTTCCCCCTCTGAAAAAGCAATAATTTACTTTTTGCCTTTCCCAGATAAGCTCCTTAATAGATGCATTCCAAGATCCACATTTCTGTAAACTTCTTCGCATAGTTAAATCATCACAACTGAAGGTGACAGAGGATTTTTTAAAGTTATATGTGAAAACACAGAGCAAATATTTTAATTTACTCTGTCCTATATAGAGTGGTGACATCTCCCTTCTTTTTCATGTTGAGCTGGAAAACTGGAAGTTAATTCCACTTTGTCATTTATCCATTCACTCACTTTTTCACTCAATACACGTGCGTTAGACTTATTAAATCTGCTAGACCAAAGAGGTCACTAGTGTCTTAAACTTCTTAATTCTGTTAGAATTCTAGAGAGAGAACTCATGAGATAAAAGAAAAAGATTCTTAACTAGGAGTTCAAAGAGTGTGCAGGCCATTCTAACTTTCCCTCTGCTTCAGTTTTCTCCTGTGCCCATGGAGGTAATAATTCAAAGAGTTATTTGATTTCAGAGACAACACATGCACAAGCAAAATCACTTCAGAAAGACAAGGAGTTACTTAGTATTCATAGGCATGGGTAAATCATTTAGTATCTACAATACTCGGAGAAAATTCTAGAATCACTTTAGATTCTCCATTCAAATATCTCCTCTATTTTCTGTCCTTTCCTCTAAGACCTCTTTGAATAAAATCTCCCTCTATCAGTGAAAGATAGTAAGCTTGATTTCATGGGATTCAAGTCATTTTTGTCCCAGTTATAAGTAGAGTTTATTACATTTAGATTAATAATCTAATTTTGTTTCTCCTTGCAGGGTGTTTTGGCTTTTGACAAGAAATGTTTTAAGAAATATGGAAAAATGTGGGGGTGAGTATTCTGGAAACTTCCATTAGCTAGACTTGTTATGATGAAGCTTCCTGGAGTGGAAGGCAATCTCAGTCGAGAGCCTTTTTTAGAGATTTTAGAAATAGGGGAATGAAACCATTCAGAATTCTACTGTCACTTTTTGAGCATTCCAAATCTTTTTCCATTTGTAGACACATTTTTCCACATTTGTGTCAGTATGCCTACAATTTTCATCTAATATTATGTCATATGTATTTATTACATTTTTGATATAACTTCAATATTATAATTTTTCATGAATGAGTTGGTGGATTCTTCTTAATAAATCTTTTTTTAGTAACAAAATGGCAATAAATACATATTTATTAATAGCTACTTTAAGTAGCTATTTAGTCAATGAACTATTGGACAATAGACCATTGGTCAATGGACTAAATGCTCCAATCAAATGCCTTAGTGTGGTCAGTTGGATAAAAACAGAAGACTCATGTATATGCTGCATACCAGAGACACATTTCAGACCTAAAGACACTCACAAACTGAAAGTGAAAGGATGGAAAAAGATATTCCATGCAAATGGAAAAGACAAGAAAGCGAGGGTAGCAATACTTATATCAGACAAAATAGACTTTAAAACAAAAACTGTAACAAGAGACATTTATGGGCACTACATAATAGTAAAGGGAACAATCCAACAAGAAAATATAACCCTGTAAATATCTATGCACCCAACATAGGAACACCTAAATATATAAAGCAATTATTAACAGACATAAAAAGGGAAATAGTAACAGAATACAGTAGGGGACTTTAACACTCCACTTACACCAATGGATAGATCCTCCAAACGGAAGATCAATAAGGAAACACTGGCCTTAAAGGACACATTAGACCAGATGGACTTAGTAGATATACATAGAACATTCCATCCAAAAACCACAGAATACACACTCTTCAAATTCACATGGAACATTGTCAAGGATTGATCACATATTAGGCCACAAAACTAGTCTCAATAAATTTAAGAAGATTGAAATAATACCATACATCTTTTCTGACCACAAAGATATGAAACTAGAAATCAACTACAGGAAGAAAATCAGAAAAGCCACAAACGTGTGGACATTAAATAAAATGGTACTGAACAACGATTGGGTCAATGAAGAAATCAAAGGAGAACTCAAAAAATTCCTGGAGAAAAATGAAAATGAAAATACTACATGCCAAAATCTGTGGGATACAGCAAAAGCAGTTCTACGAGGGAAATTTATAGAAATTCAGGTTTACCTCAACAAAGAAGAAAAATCCTAAACAGACAATCTAAAAACGCATCTAAAGGTACTGGAAAAAGAACAACAAACAAAGACAAAAATCATCAGAAGGAAGGAGGTAATAAAAATCAGAGCAGAAATAAACCCAATAGAGACTAAAAAACAATAGAAAACATTAAGGAAATCAAGAGCTGATTCTTTGAAAAGACAAACAAAATTGACAAACCCTTAGCTAGACTCACCAAGAGAAAAAGAGAGAAGGCTCAAGTAAATAAAATCAGAAGTGAACGAGGAGAGATTACAATGAATACCTCAGAAATACAAAAGATAATAAGAGAATACTATGAAAATCTATATGCCCACAAATTGTATAATCTAGAAGAAATGGATAAATTCTTAGAAAGATACAACCTTCCAAAACTGGACCAAGAAGAAGTAGAGAATTTGAATAGACCAATCATCAGTAAGGAGATTGAAATAGCAATCAAAACCTCCCAAAAAATAAAAGTCCAGGATCAGATGGCTTCCATGGTGAATTGTACCAAACATTCAAAGAAGACTTAATGCCTATCCTTCTCACACTCTTTCAAAAAATTGAAGAGGAGGGGAGGCTTCCTAACTCATTCTACGAAGCCAACATTGTCCTGATACCAAAACCACACAAGGACAACACAAAAAAAGAAAATCACAGACCAATATCACTGATGAACATCCATGCAAAAAACCTCAACAAAATACTAGCAAATCAAATACAACAATACATTAGAAAGATCATACAGCATGATCAAGTGGGTTTTATTCCAGGGATGCAGGGATGGTTCAACATCCGCGAATCTAACAACATGATACACCACCTTAACAAAATGAAGAATAAAAATCACATGATCATCTCAATAAATGCAGAGAAAGCGTTGAGAAGATACAACATCATTTATGATAAAAACTCTAAATACAATGGGTATAGAAGGAAAGTACCTCAACATAATAAATGACATATATGACAAACCCACAGCAAATATCACTCTCAATGGAGAAAAACTGAAAGCTATCCCTCTAAGAACAGGAACCAGATGAGGATGTGCACTGTCACCACTCTTATTTAACATTGTATTGGAAGCCCTAGCCAGAGCAATCAGGCAAGAAAAAGAAATGAAAGGGATCCATATTGGAAGAGAAGTGAAACTGTCACTCTTTGCAGGCAACGTGATTTTATATATAGAAAACCCTAAAGAAGCCACTGAAAAACTTTTAGAAACAATAAACGAATACAGTCAAGTCATGGGATACAAAATCAACATACACAAATCGGTAGCATTTCTATACACTAACAACTAAGTAGCAGAAAGAGAAATTAAGAATACAATCCCATTTACAATTGCAACAAAAAGAATAAAATACCTAGGAATACACTTAACCAAAGAGGTGAAAGATCTGTACACCAAAAACTATAAAGCATTGTCGAAAGAAATCGAAGAAGACACCAAGAGATGGAAAGATATTTCAGGCTCTTGGGTTGGAAGAATTAACATCGTTAAAATGTCCATACTTCCTAAAGCAATCTGTAGATTCAACGCAATCCCTATCAAAGTTCCCACAACATTTTTCACAGAAATAGAACAAAGAATCCTAAAATTTATATGGAACAAAAGGCACAAAATAACCAAAGCAATCCTGAGAAAAAAGAACAAAGCTGGAGGTATCACACTCCCTGATTTTAAAATATACTAGAAAGCCATGGTAACCAAAACATCATGGTACTGGCACAGGAACAGACACACAGATCACTGGAACAGAATCAAGAGCCCAGAAGTAGACACACACATTTATGGATAGCTCATATTCGACAAGGGAGCCAAGAGCATACAAGGGAGAAGGGAGAGTCTCTTCAATAAATCTTGTTGGGAAAACTAGACAGTCAAATGCAAAAGAATAAAAGTAGACCATGACCTTACACCATGCACAAAAATCAACTCAAAATGGATTAAAAGCTTGAATGTAAGACCTGAACCCATGAAACTTCTAGAAGAAAACATAGGCAGTATGTTCTTTGACATCAGTCTTAGCAGTATATTTTCAAGTCCTATGTCTGACTGGGCAAGGGAAACCAAAGAAAAAATGAACAAATGGGACTACAGCAAACTAAAAATTTCTGCACAGCAAAGGAAACCATCAACAAAACGAAAAGACTATCTAACAATTTGGAGAAGGTATTTGCACACCATATATCAGATAAGGGGTTAATTTCCAAAATACACAAAGAGCTCATACAGCTCAACAACAAAAAATACCAACAAACCAATTAAGAAATGGGTAAAAGATCTGAACAGAGATTTCTCCAAAGAAGATATATGGATGGCCAACAGGCATATGAAAAGATGTTCAGCATCATTAGCTATCAGGGAAATGCAAATCAAAATTACAATGAGGTATCACCTCACTCCAGTCAGAATGGCTGTAATTAACAAGACAGGAAACAACAAATGTTGGAGAGGATGTGGAGAGAAGGGCACCCTGGTACACTGCTAGTGGGAGTGCAAACTGGTGCAGCCACTATGGAAAGCAGTATGGAGTATCCTCAGAAAATTAAGAATAGGTCTACCATATGATGCAGCTATCTCACTGCTGGGTATTTATCCAAAGAACTCGAAAATGCAAAGGCATAAAGATACATGCACTCCTACATTCATTGCAGCATTATTCACAATAGCCACGACTTGGAAGCAACCTAGATGCCCATCAAGGGACAAATGGATAAAGAAGACGTGGTGTTTATACACAATGGAATACTACTATGCCATCAGAAATGATGAAATCCAGCCATTTGTGACAACATGGATGGTCCTTGAGGGTATTATGCTGAGTGAAAATAGTCAGAGGGAGAAAGTCAAATACCGAATGATCTCACTCATAAATAGAAGACAAAAACAACGACAAACACGTAGCAATGGACATTGGATTGCTGGTGACCGTAGGGGAATGGGGGGAGGGCAAAAGGGGTGATTAGACTCGCATGTGAAGGGATGGACTATAATTAGTTTTTGGGTGGTGAACATGATGTAATTGACACAGAATACGATATATATTACCATGAACACCTGAAAGCTATATAATGTTATAATGCAATGGTACTGCAATTGAAAAAATAAAAATAAAAAAATAAAAAACCTTTTTTTCTTAGATAATTTACTTGCCTTCCTTTATTTGCTAACTTTACTTCTTTTTTATAATGAAATATTTTAAACATACTAAAAATTATGGAGAATGGTATAGGAAATAACCACGTACACACTATCTAAACTTAACAAATGTTCTAATGTTATTTAAAACCATGACCTCTAGGGTTATGGATTATGTGACATCAGGATGAAAGTCTGGACTTCCAGGTGTGGCTCCAGCTCTAGAATCTGTTTATTAAATTTTATCCGCTTTGTTTTCCCAACAGGTTTTATGATGGTCGACAGCCCGTGTTGGCTATCACAGATCCAGACATGATCAAAACAGTACTAGTGAAAGAATGTTATTCTGTCTTCACAAACCGGCGGGTAGGCTTCCAATCTTTTTCATTTTAAAATTTATTTATTAAATTTTTATTTAGAAGTAATTATGGAGTCACAGGAAGTTGCCAAAAAGGAAGTACAGGGTGGTGCCATGTCACATGCCCTTCATCCCGATTCTCCCAATGATAATAACTTGCATAACTGTAGTACAGTATCAAAGCAGGAAATTGACGTTGGTACTATCTGCAGACCTTATTCAGATTTCATCAGTTTTATGCATACTCATTTTTGCATTTCTGTATGTTGCTTTGTGGATATTTATCATGTATGTAGATTTGTGTAATGACCACCACACTCAAGATATACAACTGTTCCATCACCATAAAACTCCCTCTTACTATTCTTTTATAGTCATGATGTGTAGCTTGTCTTTTCCTCTTATCAAGGACAACAAAAAGCAGACATAACATTTTTCTATTTCGATGAGGTGGATTTATCAATTTTTTCATTTATGGGTTGTGCCTTTGATTTCAAGTCTGAAAATTCTTCACCTAGCACTAGGTCCCAAAGATTTTCTCATATTATTTTTTCTAAACATTATATAGTTTTATGTTTTACATTTAAGTCTAGGATCCATTTTATGTTAATTTTTATATCTGGTGTGACGTTTAGGTCAAGCTTCTTTTTTTAATAAAATTTTGCCTGTGAATGTCTAATTGCTTCAGCACCTTATTCGGAAAGGCTCTCTTTCATCCATTGACTAGCTTTTTCACCAATGTCAAAAATCAGTTGGGCCTATTTCTCATTCTCTATTCTGTTCATTGATCTCTGTATCTATCCCTCCACCAGTATCACACAATGTTGCTTACTGTAGCTATAGAGTAAGTCTTAACATCATGTAGAGTGATTCCACCCACTTTATTTTTTTTCAGAATTGTTTTAACTATAATACGTGTTTTGCCTTACCAGGCAAATTTAAAAGAAGCTTATCTATGTTTACAAAAAAATGCTGAGATTTTGATAAAGTCTATAGATCAATTTGGGAAAAATTTATATGTTTACTAGGTCAAGTCTTTCAATCCATAAACACAGTATGTCTCTCCATTTATTTACATTTCTTTGATTCCTTTCACCAACATTTGCTAGTTCTCAACATAGAGATCCTGTACATGTTTTGGTAAATTTACACCTGAAGAACTACATTTTCTTTGGAGTAATTGTATATGGTATTGTATTTTCAACGTATTTTCACATATTCATTGTTATTACATAGAGATGTGGTTGATTTTCGTGTTGATTTTGCAGCCTACAGCCTTGCTGAGCTTATTTATAATTCTAGAGGTTTTTTAAAAAAATATTCTTTTAGATTTTCTACATTGACAATTATGTCATATGAAAGTAGGGACACTTCTTTTTTCTCCCAATCTATATGCCTTTTATTTCTTTTTCTTGTCTTACTGTAACAGGTAGGATTTCCAATATGATGATGAGGAATGGTGGTGAGAGTGGGCATTTTTGCCTTGTTCCTAATCTTAGGGGGAAGCATTCATTTTTTCACCATCTCTAAATTTTTATTAAATTATTTTGGGCAAATAAAAAAATATATATATAATTAAGGTGTAAAATGTGATGTTTTGATATATGTATACATTGTGAAATGATTACCACAAATGAATTAACATATTCGTTATCTCCCATAGTTACTTTTTCTTGTGTGTGTGGTAAGAACACTTAAGATCTACTCTTAGCAAATTTCGAGTATACAATACGGCATTACTAACTATAGTCACCATGCTGTACATTAGGTCTTCAGAGCTTATTCATTTTATAACTGTAAGTTTGTAACTTTTGATCAATATCATTCATTCCTCTTCTCCCTAGACTTTGATAACCACCATTCAACTCTCTGTTACTATAATTTTGACCTTTTTAAAAAAAATTCCACATATGAATGAGATCATGTGATACTTGTCCTTCTGTGTCTGGCTTAATTCACTTACTGTGTTGTACTCCAGGTTCATCCATGTTGGCATAAATGGCAGGACTTCCTTCTTTTTAAAGGCTAAATAATATGCCGTTGTATATATATACACCACATTGTCTTTATTTATTCCTCTGTCCATTTACATTGAAAGTAATTACTGATAGAAAGAACTTATTAATGCTATTTTGTATATGCAGGTGTTCATAGATCCTTTGTTCTTTCTTCTGCACTTCTTCCTATCTTCCTTTGTGTTTTGATGGTTTTACATAGTGGTGTGCTTTGCAGAGCATCTTCAATTTCTATGCTGGCTGTTGGTTTCCTCAGCAGCAAAGGCTCCAGTCTCTTCTGCAAAGCAGGCCACAGATATTCATGATCACTCCAACTGCATGGCTGATACTGGCAGTCCTTGACATTCTTCTCTGTTGCTAGCTGTCTCAAGATGTTTCAGCTCTGTAGTCTCTGGATGTATTGAAATCAAAGCAAGTCATTTGTCCAGTGCCCTGAAATGCTGCAGAAACGGGTCACTTGCCCTGCCGTGCTATTCCCAGCAAGGGGAACTCTTTCAGTCTGGCGAGTTCCCTCTTAGCAATGAGCAGTGCTGGCCTGTGGGATTAAATGATGCAGGCAAAGAGAAATGATTCTCCCTACCTATTTGTGCAAGTATTCTCTCTCTCTCTCTCTCTTTTTTTGGCTCCATTGTGTTGCTGAAGCTTAAGTGGGCTCCTGATCACTTCTAGATCTATTTTCATTTGTGGATAGCTGTATAATTGCTGCTCTTTGTTGGGCGATAGATGCTTGAGCCTCCTACTCTGCCATCTTGGTGATGTCACTCTTGTCTTTCATCACAAGTGTGACGTTAGCTGTGATTTTTATAGATGTTCCTTATGAAGTTGATGAAATTTCCCTCTCTGCCTAGTTTTTATCATGAATGGGTGTTGGAGATATCCATTTTAAAACAAAATATAGTTTTGGAAGATGAAAGAAAATCTCAAGTAGGCTGGCTTTTTAGGCCAGTCCCAAGCTGAGAAATAGAATGATCTGTTTCTTTTCCTTTCTGTCCCTGGAGAAAAAAGTAATGGAAAGGGATTGCCATGTGATTGTATCTTTTCTTCAGAATATCAAATAGATTACTAAAGTTTTAACTACTATATTTTTAAAAAAAATCATTGTTTCAAGAAATCCCTTTGTCTGGGTTGCTTTTTGCTGTACATATATGTAAAGACAGAACTAGTCTGAGGCATCATAGAGTTTTCCAAGGCTATCTTTCACCAATCCCTTTCCACTCTGTGCAGCCCTGGAGGATGAACTAGGTCTTATTCCTGTCTATTCTCATGGAAGAACAGTTTCCCTATGTCGTGAGTCATTTGCATTTAAAATGAGTATAAAAGAACATAAAAGCTGGAAACCACATGAGATGGCTGGATGTCTCCTTCACCTTCACAGGAACGTAGGCTTTTGGGATAAATATTTGCTGAGCATCTAGCATAGGGTTGACTACTAAGTAGAAAGTCAAAATATTTGTTGAATATTTGATGCTAATTTAAGAAATTTTCATAATTGTTGAGACCTCCAAAATTTACATAGGGCAAAATGTCTTTTACTTTTGAGTCTAGTCTTTTGGTCCAATGGGACTTATGAAAAATGCCATCACTATAGCTGAGGATGAAAAATGGAAGAGAATACGAACATTACTGTCTCCAACCTTCACCAGTGGGAAGCTCAAGGAGGTAAGAAAGTAGAACTTTTAATTAGAAGCTTAAATAATTCATCTGGAGTCAGATAGATAATAAGACTTTAGTCTTTTTCCAAGGGGGTATTTTGCTGAATTTGACCTTCCTAAAAATGGCATTTTATTTTTATTTCCTAGAAGAGACATTATAACATTTATTATCCCATGTCACTTACTGCTACATGCTTGCGAAAGCCAGGTCCTTCAAGGACTTGAGTCTCCACACTGAAGTTTGGATGGTGGTGTATTTTGTTTCTAGATGTTCCCTATCATTGGCCAGTATGGAGATATGTTGGTGAGGAACCTGAGGAAGGAAGCAGAGAAAGGCAAACCCATCACCATGAAAGAGTAAGTAGGAGTGAGTCTGTTGGGATTCTGAGCTCTATCACGAGACCCTTCAGCAGCCAGCCACAGAGCCAAAATTCACACTGTTGAGTTATTCTAGTGACCAAACAGATATAGGTGTGTGGTGCCACAACTCCAATGGGCCACCCAAGGAGTCAATTGCCCAATAAGGCAGGGAAGCCAGGAGTGAACTGGTTTTCTCCTGTGTACATGAGCTAGGCTTCATTTATCTGCTTAATTGTTAGCTTGGATATTCTGGAAGACAAAATTACATAGTTTAGTAGAAGGAAACATGATTGTGAAAGTTTTAAGTTAACAGGGTATGGAATGGTGGGAGAGGAAGGCACTTGATACATATTGGCAGGCAGTGGGTGGAGTAGGAAAGTTACGATGTGGAACTTGGAACAACTTAAACCCCTTCATGATTTTTTCTGAGTATACCAGCAAAATACTAAGTATTAAATCTTCTCACCACTTCTCCTTCTTAAAGTCTCAAAGGGAGAAGGCCCTGTACAGGCTATGGGTGGGGAGATCATATCATTTATTGCCTAAGCTGGGATATTTTTTTTTAATTATGCAGGAACAACAAAGGTAAACTGAGACTGTCCTGGGGAAAACTGGGACATATGATCATCCCCCAAATCAATTTTGGAGTGATTTATTATCATTATTTTTTAACTAAGAATATCCTTAGTTTTTACATTTACAGAAATGAGTCTGTCCTCAGTGTAACCTGAGATTACTGGAGTTGAGGAAGAATGTTTTTTTTCCAAGAGCCTTAGAAGGGGTCTAGAGAAGGAGGGATGATGCACCTGGCAACTTGAAACAGGTGTAACCGTTCTGTAATGTGCTAAAGAAGAATCAGCTCTGACCATAGGTCCTGTGGTGAGACAAGAGCCAGATCGGTGTCACCTTTCTTGGCTCCCCTAGGAAGAGTTAATTATTCAGCCCCTTGCTCTGCTCAGACATGGTGCTTATACACCTACTGTTGCCTGTACTCAAAACACACTGCTGTAGTTTGTTTGTTTATTGTTCTCCATCTGTCTATGACTCAGCTTTTTTGGCTCAGAGGAGGCTCTAAGATGCCTTACTGCCCCCAGCTCACCTAACACAGGGCCAGCTGCATGATTGGCACCTGGTAAACACCTCATGAGTGAGTGTGATGGTAGCACAGACTCTTCAGATGTTCCAGCAGAAATTTCTGCAAGTGTGGGTCTCTTTAACCCTTGCCTGGGCGTATGAATTAAAAAGCACTTCTTGCTGCATGTGTTGTATAAAGAAAGAAAAGACACACTGATTTTAATTTTCCATGTCTTTCTTTGTCTCCTCAGCATCTTTGGGGCCTACAGCATGGATGTGATTACTAGCACATCATTTGGAGTGAACATAGATTCCCTCAATAACCCACAAGATCCTTTTGTGGAAAATACTAAGAAGCTCTTAAGATTTGATTTCCTTGATCCATTCTTCCTCTCAATACGTATGTGGACTACTATTTTTGTTTTCCTTCCTTCCTTCCTTTCTTCCTTTTTGTAAGAGCTTTATTAAGATATAATTATTATATCATATAATTAAACAATTTAAAATATACAATTCAATTTTTTCACAATCTAAGCATCCATGCATATATGAATGAAGAAAATGTAGTTTATATTTAAATTTAAATACTATTCAGCCATAAAAGAAATGGAAATCCTGCCATTTGTGATAATATGGCTGGACCTTGAGGGCATTATGATAAATGAAATAAGTCGGACAGAGAAGGACAAGTACTGTGTGATGTCATTTATCTGTGGAACCTAAAAAGCCCCTGAAAACACTAAACTCAGAGAAAATGAGATCAGACTTGTGGCTACCAAAGGGGAGATTGATGGTGGTGGATTAGGAGAAGGTGGTCCAAACATATAAACTTTCGGTTGTAAGATAAATAGTTCCTGGGGATGTAATGTACAACATAATGTCTAAAGCTAACACTCCTGTGTGGTATATTTTTAAGTTACTAAGAGAGTGTATCCTAAAAGTTCTCATTACCAGGGAAATTTTTTTTGTAATTATATGAGGTGATGGTTAACTAACTTTTCACAATATATATGTCAAGTCATTATGATGTATGTCTTAAACTTATAAAGTACTGTATGTTGATTATAATCCATTGAAATTGAAAAAATTATTACATTCAAAGTTATGTGCAGTAGTCACTATAGTCAATTGTTAGAACATTTTTGTCAACACAGATACCTTGTACGTTTTAACTACCACCTCCCACTCCCATAGTCCTAAGTAACCACTCATTTGCTTTCTGTCTCTATAGATTTAGCTAGCTTGGAAACATCATATAGTGGGAATCATACAATATGTGGTCTTTTGTGACTGGCTTTCTTCATTTAGCATTACTCTTTTCAAGGTTCATCCATGTCATAGCATGTATGGGTACTTCATTTCTTTCTATGGTTAAATAATATTCCGTTGTATGGACATTCCACCTTTTGTTTATCCATTTATCAGTTGATGGACATTTGGGTTGTTTCCACCTATTGGCTGTTGTGAATAGTGCTGCAACGAACATTCATGTACAAGTTTTTTTTTTAAATCTGAATACCTGTTTTTGATTCTTTTCAGTATTTACTTAGGGGCAGAATTGCTGAGTTATAGTTATAACTGCCAAACTGTTTTCCACAATAGCAATACCAATTTACATTTGCACCAGTAACACGTGAAGGTTCCTTTTTCTCCACATCCTCACCAACACTTGGTCAATATTTTTCTTTTTTCTTCATTATGGCCATCCAAGTAGATGTGAAGTGGTATCTCATTGTGGTTTTGATTTTCATTTCCCTAATGACTAGTGATGTTGAACAACATCTTACATGTTTGTTGGCCATTTTTCTATCTTCTCTAGATAAATGTCTATTCAAAGCCTTGCCCATTTATAGCCATGTTGTTGGGCTTTTTGTTCTTGAGCTCTAAGAGTTCTCTAGATGATTTAGATAAAAGTCCCTTATCAGATGTATGATTTAAAAATATTTTCTCCCATTCTTTTAGGTATCTTTCACTTTCTTGTTAGTGTCCTTTGAAGAAAAAAAATTTGCATTTTGATGGTGTACAATGTATGTATTTTTTCTTTTATTGCCAGTGCTTTTGATGTCATATCTAAGAATCCATTGCCATATCTGAAGTCATGAAGTTTTATTCCTTGGTTTTCTTCCAAAAGTTAGATAGTTTTAGCTCTTATGTTTAAGTCTTTGCTCCATTTTGATTGGGTTTTTTTTTTTTGTCTATGGAGTTAGGTAAGAGATCAACTTCATTATTTTGCATGTGGCCATCCAGTTGTTCCAGCACCATTTATTGAAAAGACTATGTTTTCCCATTAAATGGCTTTGGAACACTTCTCAAAATTGACTTGACTATAGACATGTGGGTTTATTTCTGGACCCTAAATTCTATTCTGTTGATCTATTTGTCTATCCCTATGCCAGTACCACATTGTCTTGATTATCATAGCTTTGCGGTAAGTTTTGAAATTGAGAGTGTGAGTCCTACAATTTAATTCTTCTCTTTTTCAGGATTGTTTTGGCTATTCTGGGTTCCCTGCTTCCGTATGAATTTTAAATTCATCTTTTCAATTTATACAAAGAAACTAGCTAGGACTCTGATAGGAAATGTATTACACCTTTATGTTGATTTGGAGAGTATTGCCATCTTGACAACATTAAGTTTTCTCTCCATGAATGTGAGATGTTTTTCCATTTACTCAGATCTTCTTTAATTTATTTCACCAATATTTTGTAATTTTCAGAGTATAAATTTTGCACTCATTTTGTTAAGTTTATTGCTAAATATATTGTTCCTTTTGATGTTAACATAAATGGAATTCTTTTCTTAAATTCACTTTTGAACTTCTTATTGCAGTGTATAGAAATATTGAGCTGTATATTGATTTTGTTTCCTGAAAGGCTGCTGACTTAGTTTATCATATGTAAGAGGTTTTTAGTGGATTCTTTAGGATTTTCTATATACAAGATCGTGCTATCTTATAATAGAGATAGTTTTACTTCTTTAATTCCTATATAGATGTCCTTTATTAGGTTGAAGAAATTCTCTTCTATTCCTAGATGGTTGAGTGTTTTTAACACAAAATTGTGAGATGCTTTTTCTACATCTATTGAGATGATCATGTGCTTTTTATTTTTTATTCTGTTGATATGGTGTATTACACAACCTTGCATTCCTGGGATAAACTCCACTTGGTTTTGCTGTGTACCTCTTTTTCTATGTTGCTGGATTCAGTTTTCTAGCATTTTGTTGAGGATTTGTGCTTATGAAATGTTCATAAGATACATTGGTGCATAGTTTTCTTTTCTTATGATGTCTTTGTCTGGTTGTAGTATTAGGGTAATACTGGCCTTGTAGAATGAGTTTGGAAGTATTCCCTTCTCTTCTACTTTTTAGAAGAGCTTGTGAAATATTGGTTTTAATTCCTTTATAAATAATTGGTAGAATTCCTCATTGAAACCATCTGGACCTGAGCTTTTCTTTGCAAGTAGCTTCCTGATTACTCACTCAATCTTTTTGCTTGTTATAGTTCTATTCAGATTATCTATTTCTTTTTACTTATTGAGGTCACATAGGGTTATAACATCATATAAATTTCAAGTGTACGTCGTTATATTTTGACCTCTATATAGACTGCATTGTGTTCACCACAAAAGTGTTGTTGCCATCCATCACCATGCACATATGCCTCTTTACCCCTTTTGCCTTCCCGCAGCCCCATTCCCCTCTACTAACCACCACAGATTGTCTCTTTCCTTTTGAGTCAGTTCCTATAGTTTGTTTCTTTCTAGGAAATTGCCTATTTCATCTAAGTTATCTAATTTATTGGCGTACAATTGTTCATAGTATTCCTTTATAGTTCTTTGTATTTTTTTTAACATCAGTAGTAGTGTTCTCTCTTTCATTTGTGATGCTGGTAAGTTGAATCTTCTCTCCTTTTTCCTTGGTCAATCTAGCTAAAGTTCTTTTCAAAGAATCAGCTGTTACTTTCATTGATTTTCTCTATTACTCTTTATTCTGTTTCATTAGTTTCTGCTGTTAACTTTATTGTTTCCTTTATTCTGCTTGCTTTAGGTTTCATTTGCTCTTCTTTTTTCAGTGCGTTAATGTGGAAAGTTAGATTGCTGATTTGAGACTTTCGTTTTTTCTAAATGTAGATATTTATAACCATAAATTTCTCTCTGAACACTGCTTTTGCTACATCCTGTAAGTTTTGGTATATTGTGTTTTCATTTTTATTATCTCAAATTTGCCCTTTTGATTTCTTTTCTGGCCTATTAGTTACTTATGAGTGTATTATTTAATTTTGACATACTTGTCATGAGTTTCCCAGTTTTCCTTCTGTTTTTGATTTCTAGTTTCATTTTATACTGGTTGAAAGACATCCTGTGTTATTGCTATCGTGACTCTAATTTCTTGAACTGTATGATTAATTAAAGTAGCAGACTATGGTCTGGTTTATCCAAAGAGACTTCAATCCAAATAGATAAAAGGCTAAAAGGTCAAGGAATGCAATCTTGTTTCTTTTGTCACTCCAAAGATACAGAAGGGGTCACTGACCTCACTCCTCTAAAGATGAGCCTATGTGTAGACTTGCCCTTGCTCAGCCCTTGGCTTGGCAGTCCAAGCAAAGGTCAATGAGGGAATGATTCTTGGTTGAGAAGCCTGGTGTCTTTTACTATTCTGTGTAGTAAACTACAATTGCTTCATGTAAATTTTGCAATTTCAATTGTGCTTTTTTTTCTTTTCCCTACAGTATTCTTTCCATTTCTTATCCCAGTTTATGAAGCATTAAATATCTTTGTTTTTCCAAAATGTGTTACTGATTTCTTCATAAAATCTGTAAAAAAGATGAAAGAAAGTCGTCTCAAAGATAAAGCAAAGGTAAATCTGGTGGTGGTTACATGATAGTGTTCAATTTTTGATAGTTTATTGAGCTGTATACATATGATTTGCACACTTCTCTATAAATTTTTAATGGTAGGCAGAGAACTCTAGGGTTTAGAGCAGAAGAGTTCTAACATTTGGGGGAAAATGAGGAAGGTGGAGGCTGGGGAGGAAGAAAATAAGTTGGAGAACAATGTTTAAAATTTAATAATAAGCTTGAGAAATGTATGTTACTGCATGAATATTGTTGAGATAAAAACTTTTCCACTTCCATTCAATAAATTGTGAAAGGAAAAAAGTAACTCTTTAAAAATTATTTTACTGGTATAATAATTTCCCCAGATCTTATATTAGCAAAAAATCACTTCTATCAAGCCTTTCATTTTATACATTACTCAGTGGAAGTTCCCATGAGGCTACCTTGTGGAGTATAGCCTATGTTAACTTTGAGCCCTCTAATAGTCTGGAGTGAGCAGGAGTCTTCTCTGGGCATTGAGGCTGCAGGGTGACTGACCCTAGTTTGCCTTCATGAGGTCTGGAGACCAGCACAAGGATGTCTTCAGGTCAGGGAGACAGGGCTGAGTACAGCAGGATGTCACTGAAGATTGTGTAGAGTTCTGGGAGGGTGGAGCACTTGAAGATATTTACAGAAAAACTCCTGATGAACTCAACATGTATCAGAGGATTAATCTATGTAGCCATTCATTAAGAATTAAAGTTGGAAAGAAAAATTATTGAAGTCAGGGACTTCCTCCTGAGCAGGCAGGCATGACAGGAAGAGGAGCAGGTAACTCTTTGGCCAGGAAGCTGTGGTCAAAAGCCAGAGAAGCCAAAAATCAGAGAGAACAAGGATCAAAAAGTACTTGGACATGATGGCTGGATTCCTCTCGAGGACATAATCTGCTCTCTCACATTTTTAGCTGGGTTATTTTGTTGAGACAATACTAGTCACTTTTCTGGAGTTAAAGGGGCTATATTCTCAGAGAAGAGGGTAAATACTGAACTCCTAATTTATTTCTTACTTCAAAAGTGACTTTTATTGAAATTTCTCTTTCTGCTTCCAGCAACGAGTGGATTTTCTTCAGCTAATGATTAACTCCCAAAATTCCAAAGAAATAGACAACCTTAAAGGTAACCAAGGAGTGCTTCAGAGGGCCACTGTGTGGTGGCTCAGAGGGTGGTGGTGGTTCCAAAAACATGAGGGAAGTTTTCCAGACAGATGAGAATTTCTGCCCAATTAAGAAAGACACATGTTCAGATATAAATGTAGCCAGAGGCACTTTCTAGAGCATGCATTCACAACTCTTTTCAAAACTTGAAGAGCAAACAGAAACAAGTGTTTCCTGCCTAGAAGTTAGTCAGTGTCTGTGGATGACCTACATGAGAACCTCTGGAGAGCTTGATTCCTTGTCAGTTTTCAGGCCTCATTCAGACTCAGTGAATCAGAACCTCTTCCTGGAAATTTGCATCAAGGCTTCATCACCTTAGGAAGCACATTGCCACAGTGTTGGGATCTTATCTTGGACACTGGATTAAAGTTGTATTCACTAGCTTAATCTACTGAAAAAGTTTTCTTTTTATCCATGTAATTAATAAGTAACTTATGGGGGAAGCCTTTGAGACCATGTAAACATTCAGTTCCTCTTCAATTTCACCAACTAGTTTTATCAATGTGGATGGTTTTTGACTGAGACCATTACTACTTCAATGGTTGCAAAATAATGACTTTCTCATTCCATTATTTCTTCTACATTTATGAGTTGATGTTCCCTTGTAAGGGAGAACTTTCCATTCTTCCCAATTTATTTATTTATTTGTTTACTTATATCCTTATGATCTCATATGTTACTAATTTAATCTCTTACTTACATCATCCTTTATTTTTATGCTCAAATTCTCTCAGGTTTGTCCACTGGAAGCCCTTTCAAGTGGGCTCTTGTATCCTTCTTTTTCTTCTTCCTTTTTTTAATTTTATTTTTTCAATAGACTTTATATTTTAGTGAAACTTTAGATTCACAGCAAAGTTGAGCAGAAGGTGCAGAGATTTCCCATTTATCTCCTGCCCCAGCCACACACAGCTTCTTCCACTCTCGAAGTCCCTCACTAGAGTGGTACATTTGTAACTATCGATGAACCAACACTGACACATTACCGCCACCCAAAGTCCATATTCTACACTAGTGTTCACTCTTGGTATAACACATTCTACGGGTTTTGACAAATGTATAACGACATATATCCATGATTATAGTCTACTGAGTATCCTGTATCCTTTTCAGCTATCATTTTCTGAACACTTCCTTGCTTTCTCTTGCAAGACATTCCAGGTTTCTCTTCTATTTCCCCTGACCAGCCCTGGAATCAACCATTTCTTCAGGAGCTCTGGTTCCTTTTATTGAGAAATAGTATTTAGAAACCAAAATGTGTTTTCTCATTGCTGGTCATTTGTAGTAGCTCATTGTTTCTATAGGTGTCTTTGATTCTAGAAACTCTCAGTGGGCAAAGCTAAGCACATCAAATACAGTCACTCAGAACTGATAAACATAAATATTTCTATCACTACCCATAACCGGTGATGTAAACAAAATGTCTCTATTTCTCAAAAAAATTAGTTTCTGATTTATAGTTTATTTCCATGACATAAATACTCCCATATGTTTAATTTCAAGCTACCAATGGTTTTACAGCCATCTCACAGATTTCCTGAATATTTAACAATTGGTTCTGGAGTACAGGGATGATCTGAGTCCAGCACGCCACTATAAATATATCTATATCTATGCCTACATTTACATCTATCTATCTACTATCTATCTATCTAGTCAAATACCACTTTCTGTGATGAAGGAAATACTCTTTATCTGCACTGTTCAATGTAGTAACCACTAGGCACATGTGGCTGTTGAACACTTGACATGTGGCAAGTGTCACTGAAGAACTGAAGCTTAAGTTATATTTAAATTTAATTAGTTAAAATTCAAAGAGCTACATGTAGCTAACATATTGGACAGGAGAGCTCTAAACCTTGAGTATCACGAAGTTCATGCTAACTGGAGGAAAGAATTTGACAGTTGAATTTACCCACAATAGCATCACAGAAATCATCATTGGGAAATCAGAACTCTGTAGACCTTTCTTTCCCTCATTTTGTATTCTTTTAAACTGTGAATTACATGATTTGGATGGGTACCATGTTTATTTCAAATCTCAGACTATCTAAATGTCCTAATCTAGTGTTTATCAAATAGATTAAAATCTGAGTGTGCTCAATGTCTTTCAGGAGAAAATCTAAGGGGATGCCAACTTAGAATCATCGGGTAGCTTCCTGAGTATGAAGTAAACAATGAGGGACAGCATGTGGTGAGGAAGATTACATTCAGGTCATTATTGATTGAGAATTGATGTTACTCTCAATGGACCCTATTTTTTGTTCTTCTCCCTAAAGTGCCCCCATACAAAGTAGTATATTCTAGTTGTAGGTCCGTCTGGTTGTGTTATGTGGGATGCTGCCTCAGCATGGCTTGATGAGTGGTGCCATGTCCATGTCCAGGATCCAAACATGCAAAACTGTGGGCTGCTGAAGCCGAGTGTGTGAATTTAACTACTCAGCCACGGGGCTGGCCCCCTATGTTTTTTATTTCATTCTGGCCAATGTCTTTCTATTGACCCAATCTTTCATCTGCTATTTTAATGCCATTGATCAGACAAGGGTCAACCACCACACTTCCAGCATTTTGTCTGTCCCCATAGTTTCTGTATATATCTGAGATCTTCCACTTGAAGACTTGTGCTCCAGGTCTTCCATTACCTGACGCTTCTCATATAGCAATCCATGCTGTTCCACCTATGTTGTGCACAGAAACCACTACATCTCATGAAAGTTCAGCTTTGATTAGATAGTTCTAGGGTAGGAGTTAAGATTCTGCATTTCTAAAAAACTCCCAGATACTGCTGATGTTGCTGGTCCATGGACCACATTTTGAGTAGCAAGAGTTTATCTGTAGTGCATATTATTCTCTTAAGTTCCTTCAAACATAATTAGATGAAAAATCCTTTAATTTTCTCTAAAATTAAGTCTTGATATGGCAAACTCTCTTAAAAAGTTTCAAATTATATTCTAGCTGGAATAATTTGAATTTTTCCTTGGGGAGAATACTAAACCATATTACTTGTATAGTTTTAGGTAAAGTACTTTTATAGGATTCTCCAAAGGACAATGCTATTAATACTGTGTTAGATAGAAATGTTACTTTTTAAATTACCCAGCTGAGTTTGTGGGAAGGGTGGCATAACCAGAAGGAGATGGCCAAGAATAGTATAGACCTTGAGAAAAAGGATTAAGATCATTTTTGCCTTTTTTTCTGGCTCTGTAAGATAGACATCAGAAGGCAAACCACTCCCAGTTTGACTCTGAACTCATTTTCTTGTTTTTCCCTAGGGATTTGGGAGTTTCATTTGTATTTCTCATCATCTGAATCCATAGTCCATCATAGTCCAGAAAGTGAGCCTGGGTGTGTTCTTCTCAGGACAATGGTAAAGGACAAGAGCATGAAGCCCAGTCCTATGGATGCTTTTCAAAACTGTGCTTGCAAGACACTTAGCCAACATTCCATTGGTTTAAAGCAAGCCACATGGCCAACCCAAGAATCAGAATGAGAGGGCACCACAAAGTTAGATAGCAAAAGGCATCTAAACTGTGCTGTGTCATGTTGACGTACTTTACCTAAAACGTCTTTCCTCTCCTTTTAGTTCTGTCTGATCTAGAACTTGTGGCCCAATCTATTACGTTTATCTTTGCTGGCTATGAGCCTGTTAGCACTTCTCTTTCCTTCCTTCTGTATCTTTTGGCCACTCACCCTGATGTCCAGCAGAAGCTACAGGAGGAGATTGATGCGACTTTCCCCAATAAGGTGAGTGGATGGTACCTTGAGAGGGAGGGAGAAGATGAAGTCTTAGCAAAAATGTCTCCTCACCACTTCCTAGGACAAGTTTTTCAAAAAGCATAAAATCGGTTCTTTTACCTGTGCTATTTAGGAAGAGACAAAAACAAAGGGAGAAAACTGGATAACGTATGCTACTCAGAGACATATAAGATCTTTGAAAAAAAGTGCTAGCCCTGGCATTTCAGTTATCTGTTCCTGTGATAATGCCAAATGAAAATCACAAAACCTCAGTGGCATCTAACAATAAGTTATCTCCGTTGATATTGGCTGGACTTGCTTTGGTCTGCCTGTTGGATGATCTAGGCTGGCCTTGGCTAAGCTGACTGGGCTGACCAAGCTCCACACATGATCCATATATCTCTCATGGTCCAGAAAGCGAGCCTGGGTGTGTTCTTCTCAGGACAATGGTAAAGGACAAGAGCATGAAGCCCAGTCCTATGGATGCCTTTCAAAACTGTGCTTGCAAGACACTTAGCCAACATTCCATTGGTTTAAAGCAAGCCACATGGCCAACCCAAGAATCAGAGAGGGCACCACAAAGTTAGATAGCAAAAGGCATGAACACAGGAAGGGTGGAGAGTTGGGACCATTAGTGTAATTTACCAACCTAGGTAAACTTTTCAGACAGGAAAACCCTGGTGTACAGGAAAGAGCATAGGGTAGGAAATGGAAGACATGACTTTGAGTCCTAACTTTGGCTTTGGACAAGTCTTATGAACTTTCTGAGTCATAGGTCCTTCATGTATAAGGTAAGGAGACCTATCTAAATTAGAGATTATCTATATTCCCTGGTAAAGCCCATATTGTGATTCTTTTGATTGCAATCTGAGGAAAAGGTCACTTGGGGCAGAGGCTAGCTAAGCATTGTGTCTCCCTTTTTTTATAATAATAATTACAAGGCATCAACAATACTAATAGCTAACGTTTGCTTCTTACTATATATGTCTGTTCTAAATTTTTTCTGTTTATCCATGAGTTTAATCTTCATAAAATTCTGTATTAGGATAGTCTAGGTTATGCCTCAGTAACAGATTAGTCATCAATCTCAGTGGCTTTACATAACAAAGATTTACTTCTAACTCATATTTAGATGCCGAAAGGATTTTAGTGGAGGATGGGAGTGGGAGTCTCTGCTCCACATAATTGCTTGGGGATATGGGCTATAAGGATCCACCTTCCTATAGTTGATTATCTGGAACATAAGGTCTTTGTGTTGGCTGGAGATCAAGACTGTAGTGTTGCTCATAGCTTTTCAAATGTTTTGTCCCCGAACTGACATGCTTCACCTCAGCTCACAGCCCATTGGCATTGCTGGTTTCCCCTAAGTTCAAGTGGGCTGAGAAATGTGAGGGACTACATGGATGTTGGGTGAGCAGTGAATATCTCTGACACACAACCCTATTGAATGTCTAATCTATTTACCTCCAAGTAACATATCAGAAACTGAGCAACAGCGAGATGACATAACTTTCATATGCTAGTCATACAACAAGCTCTGAAGAAGCCAAGCTATGAGCCAGGATATCTGGCTCCTGAGCCAAACTCTTAACCTCTACAATATTGCCTCTGAAATATAACACCAGGTGATAGCCACATATTGTCCACAGAGTTTTCACATCTCTGCGAAAACTGGAATTCTTTGTGGTGTGAAGAGACCTGGCCTCTGTGGCTGGAGTGGCGTTTTTAGACCCTCAGAGCTTACAGTCAGATCCTGAAGCTACAACTAGGAGACTGTTTCAGCAACAGAGGGTGGGGCTGAGAGTGAGAAGAGATCCTCTTAAATCTTTCCATATAAATGAAATTGTGTGTCCTGCTAGCATCCAATCTTATCCTTCTTTTGTCAAATTTGGTTTAGAAAGGTATTAGCTTCTCCCCATGTTATTTATAGAGCTTTTATATAACAGTGTTTTTCTCCAAGTCTTTTATATATATAACCTAAGAAGTTAGCAAGTAGGATTTGTCAACTAAATAACCTTTGTGTTGAATAGGGATATTTGCTCTTTCACACTTTCTCTTTCCTTAGTAGAGATTTGTGGCCTCTTCTTTTAAAGGAAACAGTGACTTTGGGATATTTCACTTAAGAGTAAGGGTCATATGCTATTAGTCACATTTGTTCAGGTGAGAAAGAAAAACCACTACATGGTAATGTGAGAGATTTAAGGCCCTGTTTGGAAGATTGTCCCAACAGTGTCCCATAGCCATAGATACTCTATGCCTCACAGTGAGCCATTGAGGAAGTCAAAGAACATGACACATGTTAAAATATCTGTAACTTCTAAGGTCCTTTACCAAAATAAATTATTTCTTTTGTACTCAACATTTCAATAGTCCTGCATAGGCTGAGTGGAAAATTGATCCCGAGTCTCTGTTTATCAAAATCTGTTTCTTTCTTCCAGGCACCTCCTACCTATGATGCCCTGGTACAGATGGAATATCTTGATATGGTGTTGAATGAAACTCTCAGATTATTCCCAATTGCTGATAGACTTGAGAGGGTCTGTAAGAAAGATGTGGAAATCAATGGGGTGTTCATTCCCAAAGGGACAACAGTGATGATGCCAATTTTTGTTCTTCACCAACACCCAGAGTTCTGGTCGGAACCTGAGGAGTTCCGTCCTGAAAGGTACAGAGCACCTGGGGAAGAGGACTCACCCTGATTCAGGCTGGTTCAAGCATATACTGACATCTTTTAGTATAGATGACAAGTGTGTGATTCTACAATCACTTGTTTGTACATCATTTTATTTTTGAAAGTTTTTTCTCGTATTACAAGAGTGATTATTATTTGTTGTCAAAATTTTACAAACTGTAGACTAGAAAAAAGAAATTATAGCTGTCCGGAGTCCCCATACCTTAAGATAGGCCTCATTAATAATGTGATATATGTCTTTATGGACATGGTTTTATGCGTATATAGAGTTTTAAAAGTTATATTGGAATTATGTTTTATCAGACTCTGAACTGCTTACTTTATGTAACAGTAAACTATAAACAACATCTAATGTTACACTATATATACTTGTGAGTGTGATTGTCTGTGTATACCATTATTTACTGGATGGTTATCTGATTTTAGGAATATGGACTTTTGTTTCCTTTATCTTTTTCTGTGCTGCTCTCTTCAACTCTCTGCTATTACCACCAATGTTCCCACATTCCATTTTTTAAAACGTTAGTGCCATTCCTCTATGGAATTTTTTAAGGGGAATTTTCGACATACACAAGTATATGTGTATTCAACATATAGACAAGCATAGTCCCTAGACACAAGTCTATGGGATAGTTTTCATGCACCTATACGTGCCCAACAACGCTTGCCCAAAAATTGTCAACCTATGTCAGCTGCCCCATCCACACACCACTGCTACCCTTCTTCTGAATCCAATATTATTTTAAGATGTGTCATCTGAAATAGTCCAGAATATTCTCCAAAATACAAAGACTCTTTAAAAAGTGCATAACCACGATATCATTATCACTTTCGCCAAATCCACCTTTTTCTTCATATAACCAAATATTGCAGAATCAAATTTGAATAAAACAGATCTAACTTTTAAGGAATTTATAGCTTAGTGAAACAGCTAGACAAGGAAATTAGTGATTGTACTATGGTAGAGTATACTCATATGCCCATATAAATCACCTGACATAAGCTATTCTATGGGAAAGAGAGGGAGAGAGAAAGAGAGGGAAAGGGAGGAGGAGAGGAGAGGGAAAGGAAATGAAGGGAAAATAACAATTTAAAGAATGGGAGGCATTTCCTGTGCTTCCTTTCTCCATGAGCACATGACCAACATAAGTATGAGTGGAAGCAAGAATCTACTTTTCCTTCAATCACTCTCATTTCTTACTTGCTTTTCAGAGTGTGAACATCCCACCACCCTGAATGTAGTTTTTGTGTTTAAAGATAAATTTTCTCTTAAATAGCATTCATCTTATCTCATCAACAAGACTGAAAGATCCTATAGGGTAAGGAGAATGGAAAGGGTCTATAGTTTACAATTCTCACAGCAAAATACCCATAGCAGGATGTCAATGACTAGTGCACAAAAGTGTTCTGTGTACTACAGGATGAAGGGGCTAAGTGAAAACCCCAATCCTGTAACTCCTGTGGATTTTATATTTCATTAACTTGTTTTTCTCTACTATTGTGGAACCAGGTTCAGTAAGAAGAACAAGGACAGCATAAATCCTTATACATACCTGCCCTTTGGAACTGGACCCCGAAACTGCATTGGCATGAGGTTCGCTATCGTAAACATAAAACTTGCGGTTGTCAGAGTGCTGCAGAACTTCTCCTTCAAACCTTGTAAAGAAACGCAGGTGAGACAGTGAACTTTCTGCGTGAATAATGATTTATGGGAGGTTTTTTTCAACTGAGAGGGTCTATATATACACATATGTAAATAAAAGAATGTATTCTATTCAAAGAATAATTTATTCTATTGGCCAGAGAATCTATTTGGAGCCATCTGTGACATTTAGGGGTCTTTTGTTCTCGAATGCTGAGACTGTGGCTTTTTAAAGACTCAACTATAAAGGCAATCTAGAGTTGATGCTGATAGTGTCTTGTGATTATGCCCAATTCTTTGAAGTTGAGCAAAGTTTTGACTTTGCTTTCAAGTCCACTAGAAGGAAGAGGAAGTGTTGTGCACAGCCAGAAAGTGCAATAATTACCATGCTGTGACTTTCGAAGGAGGCTCTTCTCTAACAGAACTTACTGAAGCTTCATGACAGTGGTTTTCAACCATTGTCTTGAAAATGAAATAACCATGGAGCTTTAAAAAAAACTCTGATACTTAGGACATCTCAGAAACTGTAAAATAATTTGCCCAGAGTGTGTCTTAGAAGCACCCCCATTGTATCTCCTGTGCAGCCTAGGTTGAGAATCTCCCATTGAAAGCATTTTGCCAGATGTGAAGAACTCCGACAGTCCAGAGCCATCCTGCTTCTTTGACCTCACCTTCCAATAGCTCTGCTCCAGTCAAGCTGGACTCCTTTCCCACCTTAATAATAACTCTATGAATGTTCTTCCCACCTTCCTCCTCATTATGTTCTCATTCTTCAAATCCTGGTTCTATCCCCACCCCCACCATCTTCCCCATCTAGTAAAGAGCCCATTCTCTCCTCTGCTCTGTTATTGGTTTCTTCAGGCTGGTCTCATTGGTCAGATCACTTAATAATTTGTCATTAAATCATCCAGTTTGGTTCTCTGTGTTTTCTTTGTACTCAAGATTGTCGTTAACTCTACCACCTCATTTCATTGCTTTCATAAACTTGGATGACTTGTAGTCATCCAGTGAATGCATATGGAGTGATTTGAAGTTGATTTAGAGCTCTTGGATAAAAATTTTTAGACAGTTTTAATTTGAAAATTTTAACAACTGACGTTTGTGTATGTGAATGTTGTGTATGTGTCTGTTTGCAGGGGATATATATGCATGCCATTTGAAATTATAAAATAACAAGGTTTTACATTTATGGAAAGACGTGGAATCAAATCTGTCTTCTGAAGAATATAAAGAAGAGTAGTCATTGATTCATATCAAGCAAGGCCCTATAATAAGGTTATTTCTAGGACTTGTGCACTTAATATGCAGCTCTTCCTCTTAAGTAGGCTCCATGCAGGTAGAGGAGGATACAGATGGTTTTGATCTTATTTGTGGCTTTAGGCCAGCTCTGTAGTAATGGTGTAAGTGTGTGAACAGGGGAATCAGTCACCAGAGAAAGCAGATGTCTGGTACAGTTAGGATAGAGCAGACACTCCCTGAAAGCTCCCAGTCATCCACAGGGTGGCACTTCTCACCCTCCACGACAATTTGCTTGCCCTTGATTAACTGAATTCAGAAAGTTACTTTCCTGCTCATCCCTCAACCCTGATGAAGCGACTGGCTGAGAATGGAGATAAATGTATCAGTCAAAACGCTGTAGATTTTCAGAAGTTTACCGTCAGCACTATATGGGAACCAAGAGATGTTAGAAGACAGGCATAATGCTTCATAAAGACCTCTTCCCATCATGAAACTGGATGGGTTTCACTGGGAGAGGTGACTAGACTCTTTAGAATTTGAGGATGGTTCATACAATAAGAAGTGTAATATGCACTCAGGCTACCTAGCAAGTTTGAACATACACAAAGTTAATTCTGTTGGCTTTTCAAAATAATTTGCCATAATCCCTAAGTTCATCCATTTTAGTTAAAATTTAAATCAAAACGGAACATAAGCCAACTTGATTTTGTGTCCAGCCTGGTGTGGAATACGTCTTCAATAGATATTTTGTTGAATGAATGGATGGCTAAAATTTTGACTATGCAATCTGATACAGTTTATAGAATAAATATAAAGAATCAAGGATATATGATGCTCAAAGTAGTTTTTATATGTTTGTAAAGCATTACTGTCCTTAAGGTATCTTGTCTAATTCGCTGCTGTTGTTGTTGGATCTTCGTTAGTCAGTTCTCTTTGGCTGTTTAACTATTGCAGATTCCCCTTAAATTAGTCAGTCAAGGACTTATTCGACCGGAAAAACCCATTGTTCTGAAAGTTGAGTCGAGAGATGGGACCATGAGTGGAGCCTGATTTTCGCTAAAGACTTCCGCTTTGTTCTTCAAGGAAGCTGTATCCCAGAACACAAAAGACTTCAAATTACTTTGTGAATGAAACCCAGAATAAAGATTGTCTTAACCTACTGCACTTGATGGATGCCTAGGGGTTCTTACATTCATTGAGCTTTCTCATTGTCTAAGTAGAATATTATATGTTGTGTGGTGTAAAGGAGAGGACAAAGTAAGTGTCAGATATGTGGACTCAGCTTATCTGTTTCTCATAGGATGAGCTCCATCCACCCCCAGTTACTTGCATCTACTTTTCCTGAGCACTGATCAAGAATAAAAGTTTCTCAACAATTGTATCGCAAACTTTAAAGAAAACAAGAATTATTGTGCTGATTGTAGTAGTGACATTTATATCACATGTTCATTTTGAATATTCCATGAAGTATTATACACTGGGAAAGTCAATAAATATCTCTTTACAAAAGTGTTATCTGATGCCTTAGTGCACATTAGGGGGGATCTATAGAACTGAGTCAGTGAGCCAACAACTAAGTGGTTTTGACCATCACAATCACTGTTCGGCTGGGGCCCTTTTCAGAACTCCTGTTTAATATTTAAGACAGGTGAGAGTTAATCCACTGTGATTTTTCCTGTTGCTTAGAAAGTGTATTAATAGTCCAATTCTCTCATTTTTGGAGCACATATTTTTTGTAACATTCAACTGAGGCACTGATTATTATATTATTAGTTTTGACTTACTGTTCTTATCTTACCTGCGCTGACTTTTCTGAAGGCGGGAAACATGTTTTCTTGTACCTCTTTGTATTCTGTCCTCAGCTCCCAACTGTCTTAACACAATGAAGATCAAATGAGAAATGGTTGATAGGTCAATTGACTGAGCAGAAAGACTAAAAATACTCATCAGTTTCAGTTGGTATCAGCAGGTGCAAAGGTTTTCCTTTTCCTTTTCTGCCCCTTCCCTTTCCTTCTATCTCCTCCTCTCCCCTTCCTTCCTTTTCCTTTCCTGGATAATTCAGTCTTAAAGCCAGTAGGTGGGGCACAGCATGGTTGGCAGCCACACATTGGGTGGTGGGAGCCGAGTGGGGGGGTCACAGTGGCTCCAACTCAGAGATAGAGTTGGATGGGGAGAGTGCTCACATGGAGGAGTAGTCTGACATGTGTGTGGGAGCCCAAGCAAAGTGAGAAGGGGATCCACACAGAGGGGGGCCTGGAGAGAGAAGTCAGAGCCTCAATAGGATGTGGAGAACCAAAGTAGGGTAAGGAGGCATGCATCCATGAGTGGAAAGTGATGGAGCAGGAATTCGTCACATAAAGGGGGGTTGATCAAATAATTAAACATATTAAGGATGATAGGAGCCATATTTTTCACTGTTGGACAAGGGAGTCTCTGATTCTGAAAGGCAGAAAAATCAGCATGAACCCTGTGGTGTCAGCAACTGGAAGTAAATTTATGCTTTTATATATAGATAGATGATAGATACATGACAGATAGGGGTGTGTGTGTGTGTGTGTGTGTGTGTGTAGATACAAAAACATATCTTCCCTACTTCTCTCTGCTGTTTGGGCTTAGACTGATGCCCTAAGTGCAATGAGCACACCTGGTGCCAATATCCTGGGTTATAAATACCATTTTCTGCTAAAAGGAACCAGGGCTCCTTAGAAAATTGGCTTATTCCAGGGCCGGGACTTGGGAAAGTACAAGATGAGCCCGGAACACCTTTTTCTGCTAGAATACAAGAGAATGCTAAGCAGTGGTGAGGACATGTCAACAGGACATGGAAGCCAGCCTGAGGGGCTTCCACTGGCGAAATCAGGGACAAGTTGACCATCATAATAAAGAAGGATAGTAAGAGATTATTACCCATTGAATAAAATAGGAAAACACAACTTATACACACACACATATATATATAAATAAATGGATACATTGCAATGTGATGAGGATATTTACACAGTTTCGAAGTGCTGCTGTTCAAAATTCTCATTAATTACAGGGAGAAAGTGTACATTCACAGTTGAGAAACATGGCAGATACCCCCTTAATCAAGTGATGAGAGAAAGAATCACCAGGAACAGGGTGAATTGATTGTCACCTGATGGAACGTAGTGAGAAGAACTCAGCATCACCTCTGTGATAGTCTTGCCAAGTAGCTAAACCAGAAAGAAATCCTGAAAGAAATCAGACAAACCCAAACTGAGGAATATTCTACTTCTACTTTGTAACTGGGGTGTAATCTTCAAAGACTAAAGGTCATGAAAGCCAAAGACTAAGGAATGTTCCAGACCAGAGGAAACCAAAGAGAGGTGACATCTAAGCAGAAGAGATGGGCAGGGCCCTTCTGCTATAAAGCACATTGTTGGGACAACTGTGGGGTTTCAATGGAGTCTGAGGGTTTGATGACAGTAATGCGGCAGCGTTAACTTCCTAACTTTAGTGGTCATATTGCGGTAATGTAGGAGAGTAACCTTGTTTTCAGGAAATACAGGGGTTTATGAAATAACAGGTCTGCAATTTACTCTGAGATGATTCAGGAAAATAGTCCTGTGAAAAGACCTTAGCAAGTTGTGATTGTTTGCAGGGGCAAGAGCCAGAGAAACACATTTGGCTTATACAGCTGTCCTCTTCTCTCACCTTCATTTTACTTGTTTTGTTTTAACATAAGAAGGCAGTACCACAAAGTGATTGAGAGATGGGGGATCTGAAGCTGGAGCTCCTGGGTTGAATCCTGGCTCTGTCCAGGGCTGAGTCTGGATCAATCAGTGCTTTTGGGAAAATGCTTAAACTCCCAAGTGAATTGGCTTTAGTTTGGCCCTGGGTGATTCTCCAGAGACTCTGGAGAATGGGGCAGCTGTGAGCTAGAAAGAGCCAACACTCCCAGCACTTGGGGATAGGTGCGCAGCCCAGTGAAAGGGATCTGGTGCCTTCCTCCACTATAGACACGTATAAGTGAGACCTTGAGCAAGTTACTTAACACCTTCATACCTTAATTCTTGGTGCCTCAGAGTCCCCATCTGCAAAATAGGGGGATAATGCCAGCAGCTTTCTCAAGTTACACTGGAATCAGATGATGTGTATGAAGTATTTAGGACACAGTTCCCTGAGGACACGGTGAGCACTTAATAAACGTCAGCTATTATTTCCATCAACATATTATCCTCAGTCATCAGGAGGCCAAATTTTCTTTTGAAATTTGGAATCCAGCATTATCAACTCAAGCTTCATCTACCTCTTTAGAAAATAATTGCATACATCTCCCATGGGGGTTTAAGTATGAGATCTTTGGTGTCACAGCTGATGCTGTTCAATAATTTCCAAAGAACAATATAAATATCCACATTCTAGGAGTGCCTTTGTCATCACAGCTAAGTGTGGGCAACGTTGAGGAAGATCTGCTGCCGTGACTCTAGGGAAACTCTCCCACTGTGTTCATGTGAGCCCTCTCCTGCCTTCCCTTAGAATTGTTTTTCTTGTCCCAGAGTTCTGACAAGTCTCTCTGATCATATCCAGGTTGTGCAGTGTCCAGGATTCACGAAAATCTAGGGTGAAGCATGTTTATCCCTTTGGGGTCAAGGATAGGCAAGACTGGGGAATTGTCAAGTCAATGTTGGTTAATTTAGCAATTCACTTCCTCTCCTGCACAGACTGGATGAGAACTTCTGCAGAGTGTTTGATTATCGATATTGGGTTGGAAGGCCATCAGCTGGTTATCTGAACTTCCATATTCACTTCTTTAGGCCAAGAATTGTCCTTGCTGTGGGATCTAGGTTGAGATGACAAAAGTCCTTATGAGTGTAACAATGTAAGTCTCTATGAATGTATGTATCATTCTATATATCACCTATCTATCCATCTGTCTATATCAGTCAATCATCTATCTATATTTACCCATTTATCTATCTATACCTCTTTCCATCTCTCTATCATCCATTTATCTACATCTGTATGCATCTATATCTAATTATTTACCTACCATATATCTACATTTATCCATCTATATCTATCCTCTATATCCATCTGTCTATCTATCTATCTATCTATCTATCTATCTATCAGTCAATCATCTATCTATATTTACCCATTTATCTATCTATACCTCTTTCCATCTCTCTATCATCCATTTATCTACATCTGTATGCATCTATATCTAATTATTTACCTACCATATATCTACATTTATCCATCTATATCTATCCTCTATATCCATCTGTCTATCTATCTATCTATCTATCTATCTATCTATCTATTATCATCTGTGTATCTATCAAGAAAGAAAGAAATGTCTTAAAAGACCCAGGAATCCAGCACTCAGCTGTTTGAGTCTTTCCAACCCAGACATGTTAAGAAGGCTTTCAGGATGACCCCAGCTCCAGCCTGTCTATCATCACATCGGAGACCCCAAGCAAGAACTGCCCAGCTGAGCCTAGTCAACTCCATGTTCATGAGGAAAATAAAAGATCATTGTTGTTTCCTCTTTTGGGGCGGTCTATTATGCCATAATAGATAAATGGAACATCCCTCCTTTATTTCAGATAGGATAAGATGTACAGGAACCAGAAGAAAGAAAATAACTGAGGGAAACTGAAGAAAGTAATAAACCTTTAAGTTACTGTGAATCACTGGAAGCAGCAGTGGGTTAATGGGACAACTGAGTGCCAGGGTACAAGCTGGAGTGACACTTGGAGTCATGATATAAGAAATAGATATGTACAAAGCCAGAGTCAATGTGATCATTACCATGACCACCTCAAGGCTGAACTATGTGCAGAAATAGAACATTTCATTTTAACCTTGACTGTCTCCAGATGGCCAGAGAACAATGTGGTAGTTTTCTCCTGCAGTTAAAACATTTGGAAAGCCCTGGGCACAAGAAAAACTGTCCCGACAGGGTGAACAATGAGAATTGGACTCAGACTTAGCCCTGCATACCCTGCAATTTCTTTTTTCTGTAAAAATCCAGCCACCCTAGACTGAGGGGGTTCACCCATCAGCTTGCTGGTTGACGT